TATCAGATGTAAGTGCAAGTCCCTCGTCATCTGGAATCACGTAGTTAAGCTGTCTGAAAAACCACTCTCAAGATGCATCATTTTCTGTGTCAACTACGACAAACGCGATTGGAAATATTTGAAAATTTCCATCTTGAGCTGAAGCGGTAAGTAGCGTTCCTTTGTATTTTCCTTTTAAAAAGGTTCCATCAACAACGACCACATTCCTCAGGAAAGGAAAACCACTCATGCTACCACCAAATGCAAGGAAGAGATATTTAAATCTACCACAATCATCAACTTCTAAACGTGTGAGCGTTCCAGGATTTGCTGTTCTAATCATATCGAGGTACGCAGGCAAATCTTCATATCCGCTCTCTGCAGAATCTCTGACCAAATTCCGTGCTTCCAAGAGTGTTCGATGTGCCTTCCAATAATCCATCTATCACAAAAAAATAATGAAGAACACAATGAATACCACAATATTACGGTAATGATTAACACGTTATTGCCGAAATAACTCTCACCTTGATACCAAATCTCATTTTCATAGTTTCGGCAACATGACTTGGCAAAACCTTTGACCCAACACCACCAACATGATCCTTATACAAAAGTCCAAGTATAGTTGGCGTTGCTTGACGGGACCTAGCAGAACGCTCTGTAACAGAACATGTATGTTCTGCGACATACACCCGAATTGTAAATTGTGAGGAATCTCCAACCGGCGTAGCTCGAATTCTCCAAGTGCAGCCTTCCATCCAACACTTAACTACTAAAAGATTGAGTCTTGATCTGTCGACATCAAAATCAAATTGATGTATAACTGATAGAATCTTCAGTTTAGTTTCCAATGCATATTTAGAGGCGTATTGTTGCGTATTGTTGTCCAACGGCAAGTGAAGTCATCTCCAAAATAACATGTGGTGTCACACCCTTTACTTCCTTGGTCATCATCGTGGGTTTTCTCTTCTTAATAGATAGGCTTTGTTTCAAATCTTCTTCTTCCAAAGGCATCCCGTATAAACTAAAATCCTCATCATCCGACGATGCTCCATCAGAATCATCACAATAATCAAACCGGTGATCATTGTCATCCTCATCTTGATCTGCTACACATGGTGTAACCACGTCAATCTTCACTATGTTTTTATCAGCACAGTTGTCTTCATGTTTCTGATCTTCATGTTTACTCTGCATATCATAAGCAATCGAAACCTCCTTTGCTACTTCTTTTGATGAACATGCTTCTTTGTCCATAGCTTTCTCCTTCAGTTCAACGCAAAGCCGCATTGGTTCTGTTTTTAGTTGGCCCAGAAAACCTTGAAGTTGTCTGCAATTTTCAACTTTTACAGGAGGAGTACTTTGCGGCAATTTTAGCAAAACCTTCTTAGGAAATATGTAACTCAATTCCACATCGTAGAATCTCCACTCAACTTTGTAATCTTCAATAACCATGCGAATCAAATCTTCATAGCGAGTATCATTATTTACTTTGAGAATTTTGCACCCCTTTTCTGATCAACTTCGAATATCCATCTATTTTTGTCAAAAATCTATTTGCCACAAACAAGTATAATTTGATCCATTGAATTGAAAAAGAAAAACAAAACGTTTAATTGATCATGATGGAAAAGAGAGAGTCGACAGGTTGAATGGAAAAGAAGAGAGAGTCGGCGTTGTATTGAAAAAGTGGCTGCCATAGATAGAAGTTAGGTTACGATATTTGTTAATTTTAACGAAAAACTGTCATAACATAAGTATGTTGTCTGCCTGTAAAGTCTGTTGTTGAAGAAAAAAATGCAGAAAGACTATTGTAGTAAAAAAATTAATCTGTCGTTATAGATTATCCAAAGTCTTCCATCAAAAAAATTATTTTAGTCATAAATTAGAAAACTGCTGCAAAAAGTACGAATAACTGTTATAACAGAGAAGCTATTGTAGTAATAAAAGTGTAATTTTTTTTGATGACAGACTATTAAAAAACTGTTGATGCTATTAAAATCTGCTATGTAGTATAACTATTAATATGTCGCAGAAAATAAATCTGTGATATAAATCTGTCGCAGCATAAAAGTCTGTTTTACCATAACAACAGATCTGTGAAAGAAATATGTCACGTAAAATAAAACTGTTATCCTAAGAAAAATCTGTTATTTCGTGTGGTAGACATATTCTAAAAATCTGTCATGTTAATTATAACTGTCATATCGATAAAAAAACTGTTACATAGCGTGACGGACTCATTAACGGAAATTTGTTACTCAAATAACAAGTCTGCTATTTGTAATATATCTGACGAATAAAATAAAAATCTGTTACCAAACAAACAACAGATTTTTACAAATTTCACAAAATAATTTGCCCAGATGTGAGTGGCAATATCATTAATATTAATTTTTTAGCAAAAAAAATTAATGGCAATTTCGTAAATAGTTTATTCCTATCAAAGCCTAAAAGGGTATTATAGACATAAAAAATGAGTGAGTAATAAAATTAAAATAAGAGTTACTCTAGTAATCCCCTATATATTAAAAGAAAAGCATTTTTAGAGAGAAACCTTAAATTTATAGAATATTACAATAGTGCCATTATGCTGATGTGTCATCACCATAGAGCTTCTCAGTATTTTTATAAAAAAAGACTTCTCTTACTAGAATATTTACATGTCATGCCATTATGCATTATTATAATCAAACATATATTATACATTTATAAACTATCCATCGATATATATTAGTTTATATTTAAAAAACACATCTACACATGTACTTAAATTTATCCATCGACAAATTATGCACCATATAAATGTATTTTTCATTATAATATGATGCAATTTTTATAATGTATTCAACTATTATAGTTCTAAAAAATAATTAAAATATTATACATTAATCATATTAAAAAGAAATAGTATAGTTAGTAGATTTATTCATTCCAATAGTTATTATCTTTTATATTTGTATCCAACATAATTATTAATCGTTTATACTAATTTTGTATTTTGATTCGTAAATCTTAATTTTAGAAATAGTGGTTTAGAATAAATCGCATGCATATGAATTAATAAATAATTTTTAATTTTGATTGTTAAATCTTGACTTTAGAAATAGAGGTTTAGAATTAATCGCATGCATAGAAAGATAAACTAATCACATATAAATTAATTTACATGCTAAATATGCATTAAATGATAACTTGAGAAAGACGTATCAATATGCATTAACTTTAAATTATTCATGCATCAATATATAGGAACTAATAAATTAAAAAGGGATCAATATATGCCAAGTACTCCATATATATGCATTAAATGAGTAATTGCCAAACTTAATAGTTGATTAATAACGTTATTGATGTGTATTCGTCTTTATCAATCTATGATTAGTAGAGTTAATACATCTTTCCTAAGTATTAGGTAATAATCGATACTACTAGTTACTATTTAAGAAATGATATATTTCATTGTTCATTTGATAGTTAGTAAAAACATAGTTCAACCGATTAGTATCTTAAATATTAACTTCATATCTATAATTGAGTCATTTCGTTATTTAATGTCTTATATTTTAAATATTACATATGCCATAAATACTTATAATATATATCATGATTTAAATTGTCACCCAACTATATATAAGATGTGTGCTATATGCACTCACATATCACTTTCTCATTGCATTTTCTGGTTAAAGTTTTTTTACAGTTCATTCTCATGGCATCTTTTAGTTCTACTACTGATCTGAAACCTAGAGGTTTCAATCGTTTTTGGGGTTTGAATTTTGTTTTTTAGCTCCGTTTTTCAATAATTTGCGTCCTTTATGTTTCGTCATTTGTTTCCGTAAAATTCTAATGAAGCCTTTATTTTTTAATCTTCGGTCTCTTTACATGTTGTTTTGTATATAGTTTAAGTACATTGTATTATTACAACTTCAAACTATATTCCATTTGGTTAACCTTAATATTCATCAGACAATAAAAAATAAGTTCTAAGATTTAAGTCATATACAATGTGATTATTTGTTTATTCATGTGACACCACGTTGGTTTGATTGCAACTTATGTTATTCTCTATTTTCTCTTTTGTTTATAATCCTTTTTTTTAGTTAGCCATTTTAATTCTTATTTATTTATCCTAAAATAATTTAAAGAGATAAAATAATTGTTTATTATAATTATATCAATCAATAACTACTACAAATCTACCCAATACACTGGTGTATTAAATATTACTAATACATATTTCATAAATAAACAACTTTCCGATCACCACTCTTTGATAGCATTTACGTAGCTTTGAATATGGATGCTTTGATATTATTAGCATAATTCTTTTATAGTTCCGACTATCGTTAGTAAGCAATAATTTGTTTTTTCTTTCACAAATTAAGTTATTTATATCTATCATTTTTTATATCATTCAAACCTATATTTAAACCCATTAAAGTAAAACAGTGTATATTGATAGGACGTTACATCGGTTTTATACTAATATAAATAAAAAATATTCTATTATATTATTAATATATTTTACAATCATATTATATAAAACGAAAATTAAATCTAAATATATTATGTTATATAATATTTTAAAAAATTATATTAATTTAATAAAAGATATTTCACTCCACGCAGAGCGCGGATTATTACCTAGTTAACATTAATTTTAGAGCTATTTCAGTAATCTTCCCCAAAAATTATGATAAAAAAGCGAAAATTGGTAATTCCTCCTAATAAAAAAAAGGCAGTAATACTCTCTATTCTCCCTTTCTCTCAAGAGAAAGATCCGGGCAAAGTCCGAATCTTGTGTAAGATATACTTTCCTTTTATCGGATGTTTTTTCTATATATCTAATAAATAATTCCTGTTCTATCGAATTTTTTTCTGTATATCTGATAAATAGTTCCGGTCCTAATCTAGTTCTCCTAATAAAAAGAAGAGTCACGCCGTCTCTTGATTCTCTATATAATCAACCATAGAATCATTCTATTAAAATTCTAAATTTTCCTACAACTACAACAATGACTTCAAAATCCAACGTAGGGACTTTTTTAGGTGGATTTGCTAAGATCTTGGAAAAACAATGGCAATGCGATGTACGGCTTAGGGCAATGGACAGTGATGAGGGGGCATATATCTCCGCCCACAAACTTGTTCTGGTATATATATACGATTATAGAAAAAGTGAGAAAGGCCAAAAAGCGAAACCAATATATCTCCGCCCACAAAACTTATTCTAGTATCTATACTCTCTCTTACTTATCAAAACCCTTCGCTTAGAACTGTTTTTGTTCACTTTAGTTTTTAACTTACTTGAAAATCAAGGTGTTCAGTCCGGATTTTGATCCAGGATTTTTGGTTTATGAATATTAAGTATCCAAAGTATGATTTCAAATTTCATTTTTGCTTCGCATTAGGATTTTAATCAAAGATATCTTTAGTTTTTCAAAGAAGTTATAAGTTTTATATGGGTTTTTTTTTTCTTTTTCTAATCGGTTTTTCAGATATAAAAAGGTGAATCCATTTATATTAAGATGTACATAGTTCATTTGTTAATTATTTTGGTTCGGATTGTATTACTTGGATTGATTTATGATTGAAAAACACCAATTTGAAATCGGTCAATGCTAATTTCTGAACATATATGGAATTTGAACAAGCAGCAAGATCATAAGTGTTTAGGTTGATGTTTGAATCAGACACAGTCAAGACTTCGGCTAAGCTAGAGACAGTCACTCTCTCGGAGATGAAACATGAGGAAGTAGAGGCATTAGTTGAGTTTATCTATAGTGATGGCTCTACTCTATCAGCAAAAGGCAGACAAAATGCTCGGTCACTCTTTATCGCAGCTCACAAATATGAGATCATGCATTTACGGGATCTATGCAGAATCAAGCTAGCCTTTTCTGTGGATTTGACGAATGCTCTTGACGTTTATAAGCTCTCTTTGATTCCGTATGAAAGATATCTCAACATTGCTGCCTCAGAAATTTTACGGAGATTGCTGCTTCTAAAGAGTTTGAGCTGTTCGTCAACGAGAATCCAGATCTTACTATGGCGATAGTGAAGATGGCTTCGAAGAACGGTTGTTTTGCATCCTAGAAGAACCATAGCGGATTTTTCTTTTTCTTTTCTAAGTTTGTCAGAACTTTCTTATTATTCATTTTAAGAAAAAAATTGCTATTACTTCATCATATCTATACTATTAAAAGAGGATCATATTTTGAAATTAACCTTTACCTACTGTGTTTATTACAATATTTGCCATTAATGAATAAATACAATTTTTATGTATAAAACATGTTATCAAATCCTAACAATCTAATCCGACCAAAATCTAATAAAGTTAATATACACGAAGCTACTTAAATATACACGAAGCTACTTCTGCTATAAAAAATTACAATCATTTTTAAAAACTTGCTCAATAGTTCAGCTTTGGTGGTGCAAATATTACATTTTCCTTTCTACCAAAGTTGAAACATTTTGTACCTGCATCCATCAACAAATAACAAACAAAACATTACTTAACATATACACTCTTTGGTACTACTTCTTCTAATATATTATCTTTGATTGTTTTGCAAAGTCCTATAACCAAAAACATACATTACATGGTTCTAATCAATTCTAACTAATGACTTATTATGAAGAACATCAAACCATATGTTATCAATGCGATTATAATATGAACTCTTTTAATCATGTCAAAGACTTATTGCGAAGATAAATACAATTAAAAACCAAATCTGTTTAAAATTGATACTTCAAATCTAAACAAAAACACCTTCTTTAGGTAACTAAAAGTACTGTTTTTGTTTAACAAGATTTTCTTTCAAACTATATCCTTTAGCAAAGAATTTAAAAAAATCTTTGCCATTCGGTATATTCTATCATTCCGTAAACTATATTTTGTTGATCCTAATATTTCGTAAAATCTACCATCAATATTCTATATTCTTAACTAAATATATTTTTTACACAAATTATTTTGCCAATATCTAAGAATATCTCAGATCTTTCATATATTTTCTACACCCAATATTGTAACAAATCTAACTAATCATTTCTCCTATAAATACAAACTTCGACTTAGCTATATAATTCATTCTCAAAACACAAAGCATCCTAAATCGAACGTCTCTCTTAGCAAAAAAATAGGAGTTCTCTCATTTTTTTTACTAACCTGTCCGACGTCAAGCCTTTTAAAACAGGATGGAGAGTCCAAGTCAAAGTTGTACATTCCTGGAAGCAATACATTGCACAATCCGGTGGATCATTGGAGCTCATTCTCGCTGATGAATCTGTAAGTTGTTAATATTTAAGAATGAAACACGAATTATTAATTCCAGGAATGTATAAACTAATACACTTACACTAACAACATTATTATCTATATTTCAGGGTACTATGATACATGCATCTGTTAAAAAGAACTATATGCAGCATGTTGAGCGTTTGGTTCCTGTTGGAGAATGGAAAGTGATTGAAAACTTATCATTAACATCCGCATCTGGCCAGTACAGACCAACAAAACACACTTACAAGATGTCTTTTACGGATAACACATCTATCAGTAAGTGTAATGTGAAGAAACCAGGAGATTTCATCAATCTCGTGGATTTTGATACCATGTTAAGCGGTTCACTTAATCACAGTTTCTTGGTTGGTGAGTATTCTAAATTATAACATAGTGTTTTTTTTTTTACGTTTCTTCTATGTTTCCTAATTATAATTTGTATTTGAATTTCAGATGTAATTGGTCAGGTTGTTAACGTCAAAGATCTCCTAAGGTGTGCAAGTTAATGGAAAAGAGAGGAAAAAAATTGAGTGTGAGCTCAGAGATACTAAGTAAAATCATAATTAGTTTTCAATTATTAAGTCTTTGATGTCTATAATTTTAATTTAAATTTGGCTGTTTAAATGTTATAATTATGCAGTGATGAGCGTATGCCATGTTGTCTCTGGCAAAAACACGCAGATGAAATTTTTAACAGTTGCCAAGATGCCAATGGTGAAACGGTGATATGCCTAATCAGATTTGCTAAAATAAATTCCTACAGAAGTATAAGTTTAGAGTTCATGAATTACCTTCAATTAGTTAGACCGTGGATAACATGATTCCATTGGTGAAATTGTTATTTTCTCAGGAAAGCTTCAGATCACAAATGCCTTTGACACAACTAAATTCATCAATCATGCGATTCCTGAGGTAGAAGAATTTCAAAAATCGTAAGTCATAAATAATGTGATAACTATGAATTATGTCAAACAAAATCACATATATCTCTAAAACATTTTCTTTATAGATATTAAAAACTTATCTTTACATTTTGTACAGTCTGCCAGATGATGGTCTTGCTTTGACAATTCAAGAACCTAAAGATGAAGATTCTGAATTGGTTAAAAAGAAAGAATATTGGGCACAATTGCCAAAAAAAAAAACCTTGAGGAGCTACTCACTGCCGTAGAGGTAAAAGTTCCAAAATTAGATTTTACGACTTACGATTTGGTTTTTTGTTTTAAAAATAAACTCAATGTTTTTTACAAATTGAGAAATGCAAGATAATGTGTAATATCTATGCCATTGATATCGACTGCGGTTGGTATTATTTTGGCTGTGTGAAATGTAACTGAAAGGTTGAAAAAAACGTCTAAGAAACACGCAGGAACCACAGTTTGAATAAATGCACCAACTTGGTGGTGTAAAACTTGTGATGAAGTCATCACAAAAGTTTCTGCAATGTTTGATCAATTCTTGACACGTGTTTTTTTATCAGATGGTCGATACAGAAGCTTTCCCTCAGCCTATAAAGGATTTAGTGGGAAAGACTTTTCAGTTTATTGTCTTTGTTGCGAAAGAAAGACACTCTTACACAAGTTGACAATTTGTCCACAATTGTTTCTGGTGACGAGGTAATCATTTTTAAGCTAATCACAATCGTCATTTTTAATTATGTTTTGACTTATTTTTTATTATTGTTTTACAAATTTTTAGAGAATTTTTACTAGACCAAACATGATAAAATAGAGAAAATGTGGTTTTACGAATTGTTTTAGAATTTTGGATCCACGTATTTGGACTAAGTTAATTATCCCGTCAATATTTATCAGCTTCTAACTAAGTTGTGGTCACTGTAGGTTTCTATAATTAATAGTAGCAGTGGAGAAAATTCAAATGTGAGCACAACACCTTCTTCTAAGAGATCTTCTGAAGAGTTTGAAGAATTACCTGATCTTTCATCAACATCGAAGAAGCTGTGCACTAAAAATACAAAGATACAAAGACCTAAATTCATTAAAATACAAAAACCAATAACCCTTACTAAAATTATAATTGTTGGTTGCACACTTGCTGAAAGTAATGACTTTTTCTAAAGCTGTTCCGAACTTAATTGTAAATTATTCTTTTTGTTTTCCATCTAACATATATTAAACAGGAAGCATTAGTGGCTTATGTGTCATTATCTTAGAATTTTGAATTTTTTAAATCTCAATAATGGTTAAAAACTTAAATAATTTATTCTTCCAACCAAACACAATCTTCTTGCAACAAAACAAATTTTTTTCTAATTATTTATTTTTAATTGTATTTAATATTTTAAAAATCTGCAATTAATATTTAGATTTCTTATACTTCCTCTGTTTCAAAATAAGTGTCACTTTGACACTTTTCACACAAATTTAGAAAAACATTAAAAGTTCTGTTTTACCCTTTGTTCATACACAAAATAACATTTTCTTTCTAATTAATACATTACTATAACAAGGTAACAGGATTTCTGTTTAGAAAATTGCATTGGAAATACAAAACGACACTCTTTGTGAAACAAAAATAAAAACTCTAAAACGACACCTATTTTGAAACGGAGGGAGTATATAATATAAATAATTCGATTTAAATAAATATGACAGAAAAATTAAGTGAATCATTGTTTTTAAAAAAAGTATCTAACATATATTAAACATGAAGCATTAGCTTAAGTGTCATTATCTCCTTTTTCTAATATTTTTTATTGATTTATTTTTGTGTGTTATCTTTATTACCAAACTCTTTGTTTTAAATTACTTAAATTAAATCAAATTTAAATCGAACCAATCACAAATAATTTGATAATTTCATTGGTTTAGTAAATTAAATTAGTTACATATTTTATTACTGGAAATCAAATTTATTTCTATGTTTTAGATCTACAAATATTTATTGTTTTGCAACAGCTTTGATTCACATATTATACAAACGGAAAAATATTATCTTTCGAAACCTCGGACGAAAGTAAATACAAATTTTGCTTTGTGTAAGTTTAAATTAAAAACAAAAATAACTAAATTTTCTCAAATCTGGACTGAACATTTTTAGATGCCTAAATATTTTTCAAAACTTAATAAATTATAAAATATCTCTTAAATATTTTTACAAACATTGTTGGTTGTAATCTAGTATATTATTATAACAGACGAAACTCTATCTGTTCATAAAGAAGGTTTCCCAACTAATAAATGACACTGCCCAAATTAGGGGTGGGCACAAAAACTATAACCAAAAAAACCAAACCATACCGAACCGAAAAAAGTGATATGATTTGGTTATGGTTAAACCTAAAAATCTATTTGGCCATCATTTTTTTATAGCTTTGGTTTATGTTTGGTTTGGTTAATAACCGTCAAACCAAAAAGTTTTTTGGGTTTTTAAACTAAATTTTAAATAATTTATATTTTCCTAGTTTCTTAATTTAGTTTAGGTACATATTTTATTATTGAGCTTAGTTATCTTTATAATTTACTAACTTAACTCATAAATTTAAAATATAATATTTATAAAAAATATCTACATATAAATAATAAAATAAACCTTAATTTTTTAATAAAAATAACATGATTAACTCATTTTCAGTCTTCTAGTTCTAGTTCTAAAGTTATAGGTATTAAATTTTAATCTAGATTTTTTTATTGTTTTATAATTATTGATTATGAAAGATTTGATCATTGATTTGTTTCTTTTTTGAAATATGTCCTTATTGCTGAATTTTTTATGATTTAGATTCTATTTTTTGAACTTATTGTTTTATTTCACTCATATCTATTATTATTATTTTCATTAGTTTGAATCAAAAATTTTTTATAATTCCAAAAAAAACCGAAACCAAACCATATTAAACCGAACCGTAAAAAACCAAATCATACCGAACCGAAATATATATAGATTTGAATTTTCGTAAAACCGATAAACCGTAAAACCAAAAAAACCGAACGGAAACCAAACCAAAAACCGAAGTGCCCACCCCTAGCCCAAATCAATAATTTTTTAAAAGATGGTTCAACATTCTTCTACAAATAAAAATCAAAGTTTCATGGAACAGTCCTCAAAGAAAAAAGAATAAAAAAGACAACAAGTACGCCGAAAGAGTTTTACCCATAAACAAAAAGCTCTCTTCCTAAGAGAGCAGTTAAAGCTGTGTTTGGTCTCTCACCGAGAGTGGAATCACAAAGATGGTCGCTGACAAAGGATGAAGAGTTGACAGCTGATGAAAGCCATTACCAGAGAAGTCAGCAGCTCAAACCCAACAACTTTCGGGAAATGCCATCCCATCACTTTCCTTAGATAGCTTGTGATTGAAGGCATTGTAGCGATGATCACTGCACACGTGTATATGATTGGGATCAGAGTCTTGGGTTTGTTCTTGCGTAGCCACATCAACGAACCTAGCGCGGCCAAAGATATCGTGAACACCTGAGTTTGACACAACACGTTGTCATGGAAGTAAGAAACAGTTGCAGATCGTGAATCGTTCTAGAAATTAAAGATTTGGTATTGTACCAGATTTGCATTGGCTTCAAGCCCTTGCAAGACGTAATCCCAAGTAAACTCTAGTCCACGAGCACCAACCCAAAGAGGTGCTAACCTGTGCAGAACAGAATCCGCAAATGCCCATCCTGAAGAAAATAAGAAATGCATCTCTTAAATCACAGTTGATAAATATTCCGTGATGAAACTTCTCCTCCAGAAATCATGAAAGGAGTTTTTTTGTTTTGATTATGAACACTCCAAATCCAATTCCAGTGTCACTTCACCGTTTTGTAACATATTTAGTATCACAGCCTAAGCTAACTGAATTTTTTTTAGCAGAAGCGATCTACTTACCGAGGCCAACAGCTTGAAACTTATGATTTTGGGAGATGTTCCTGTGTGTCAGCTGAGCTAGAGCATAGTAAAGTCCAGCAACATCTATGAAGCCAATCATTGCTTTCAGTGCTTCCTGATACAAAAGGAGATTGGACCCATGATTAGTCATCTAGATTGTAACATAACAAAAACAAGTTCAGCAGTAAAAGAAGTCAATCTATACAATTGAGTCAGGAAAAAGAAGGAAATGCAACAAGTGACCAAGAAAAGACAAGTTATTGGCTAATATAGTTTATCATTTTCTATGGGAGTAGCAGGAAAGATGACAACTTCATAGCCTTTCAACAGAGAACTAAACAACAAAGTCAAGAAAAAGGAAAGTGCGAGTGCTACAGTGTATATAGCTTCAAGAAGATACCTGATATGGGTCAAATACTTCAGTCTCAGATACTTGCAGGAAAGTTGCCAAACAAACAAGCTGCCATGAAAATTAACAAAATCAGCTTTTACCTATTAGAAATGCAAATACAGATATTCAGATACAAATCAAGATAAAGATAGATTTTTGCCCAAGATTGTTTACTGTTGACTAACCTTAACCAATGCTGTAGCAAGGTAAACAACACCAGCCTTCACGGAGGTTCTAAGAGTGTCATATTCAGATCTGCAGATTCACTTCCGATTACAAAATATGCCTAAACAAAAATTCTAATACCGCGAAGAAACACACAGGAAATTCGGGAAATTCTCAACAACTAGTAGCGCGGAAGCTTATACTAAGCCGAAGAATCCAGATCATCAAGTTTAAATGTAAGCGATAATTGAAAGGATCTAGATTGGGTACGACTAAACCAAAAGAGCATAGCAATTTGAAATCATAGATCGAGAAAGAGGGCGAAGGAAAAAGGATTTGATTTTCGTACAATGGAGTAGCGGAGTAATAGACGGCGTGGGGACCGAATGTGAGAATCGCACAGTTGAAAAAGTGAAAAAGCGTCATCTTCCACCAAAGCAGCAGCTACAAGTCCGGCGACGCAAAGACGACGACGACCGTGAAGCTAAGAAATCGAAGAAGAAGGTTGGGTTTAGTTCAGAAATCTGAAACTCGATTGGATGAATTAGCAAAAACAAGATGCCAAAAGAAAATCTTAAACGGGTTCCCTTATTAGTTATTGGGCCGTAAAAGCACTAAGAAGCCCATATATTTATTTTTCCACAGTCTCCAAAATTTAACGAAATGATAAAAATCTTCACTTATATATTTTGGAGACTCTGGAATTTTGGACTCTGGAAATTTACAAATACTGTTTTTACAAATAGTATTTTTAAAGTTTTTGGGATCAAGGTTGCTATATATCTTCATTTATAATTTTAGGAAAATACTTTTGACACCAAGGTGGTCTTCATTTTAGTAAAATTACTGTACAGTAAGAAAAGTCTTTTGACACCAATGTGGTTTGATAGTATATGCTACTTTTTTTTTGGGTCAAAATAGTATATGCTACTTCTGTTTTGCAAATAGTATTTATACAGTTTTTGGTATCAAGGTTGCTAAAATATCTTCTTTTATAATCTTAAGAAAAGACTTTTGACACCAATGTAGTCTTCATTTTAGTAAAAATACTGTACAGTAAAAAAAGACTTTTGACACCAATGTGGTTTGATAGTATATGCTACTTCTGTTTTATTTTTCTCACATAGTAATAAAACTATTAAAAACTTTACACTCAATATCTTGTTTCTATGTCACCGTTTAATTCTACTTTTTTTTCATAACATACACTGTTAGAGCAAGCCTAATAGAGATACTATTGGTGGGTGTCTTATTGATTAATTATTAATATTTTAGGTGTTTTTGTATATAAGACACTTTGTAATATTTTGTTGTTTTTAGAGCATACAATGGAGACATTTTGATGGGTGTCTTAAAAAAAATTATATATATATATATATATATATTAATAAATTTAAGTAAAAAATTTTGTTAACACCTTTTAAAACATATTACATTTTCAAAAATGTAATACAGTAGAAATTTTTATAAATTAATATTTAATAAATTAATAAATTCAATAAATCAATACTTTTGTTCGGTCCCGAGTTAGACCGATCCAAAATTTAATATAAATCAATAAATTAATAAGATAATATTTTTTGAAACTTTATGTAAAATATAGTCATATTTATATCATAAATTAATAAATATCATATAAAATAATTTTATATAATTATATAATAATGATAATCTATTAAATATAAGTATATTGTTGTTTTTTTTTACTAAAGTTAAAATATTTTTATTATTTATCTCTAATTTTATAATAAAAATTTTGAAAAATATTATACATTTAAAAGAAAATATTATTTTAATTAATTATTAATAAACAATTTATTTTATCTAAAACTGATAAATTAATAACTCTATAGATTAATAAAATATCGAAGTCCCAACATTATTAATTTATAAAGTTTCTACTATACATGAAAACATATAAATTATAATTATGCAATTCAAAAACTGAAATTTTTCATCGTCCATTCACATCTTGCCACATGTGTATTCTTAATTTAGACACTGATGTATTATTTTAGACACTGATCTAAAATATAAAACACCATGAACCATTTTTTTAATTCTATTTTATTGTTAAGAATATTTGTTTAAACCCTTCAAGGTCTCTATTGAAATTGGTCTTAAATACAGTTTCAAACGAAAGAAAAACAATTCTAAACTCCACAACCAACCAATTTTCTAACGAGATTCAGAATATAACTCAAATTTAAATCGAAATATCATAATATATAAGCCTATATAACAAAAATCTAGCCTATATAAAACCCACATCACCACTCACACAACATCCCCTTCTCTTTCGCTTTTCTCTCTCCCTCTTTCTCTCTTTCTCACTCTCTTTTTCCCATTAATCTCTCTCTGTCATTTTCCGCATTAACTCTCAACTCATGCCGACAGAATCGAACCAGACCCGACCCACCAGAGTTCAGGGCTCCACGGCGGCTTACCCACCGCCGAATCTATCCGAACCTCTGCCTTGTCCTCGCTGCAACTCCATCAACACCAAGTTCTGTTACTACAACAACTACAACCTCTCACAGCCTCGCTACTTCTGCAAATCCTGCCGCCGTTACTGGACTCAAGGCGGTACACTCCGCGACGTCCCCGTCGGCGGTGGAACTCGCCGGAGCTCATCCAAACGCCAGCGCCCTTTCTCAACCTCCGCCACTACTGCCTCCTCCTCTTCTTGCTCTTCTTCCGTCATCACCACAACGACACAAGAGTCAGAACCGAAGAACCAAGAAACCGTCGCAAACGAAGCAAAGGGTAGTAATGTAATTTCGGGTTATGGAAGCTTTGCGTCTTTGTTAAGTGGGCAGAGCGATGGAGCTCCGTTTCTTGCGTTGGGAAGTGGAGGTGGGAGTGGGTTGGATCACGGGTTCGGATTCGGGTTCGGGTACGGGTTGGAGGAGATGAGTATTGGGTATCTTGGAGGAGGAACCGGAGAAGAGATTGTGCCGGTTGTGGATGGTGGTGACACGTGGCAGATCGGGGAGATTGATGGTAAAAGTGGGGACAGTTTGATATGGCCTGGTCTTGAGATCTCAATGCAAAGCAACGATGTTAAGTGAAAAAAAACCGTTTCTGATTTCATTGTCTTCTTCTTTTTCCTCTGTTTCTGTTTTTTGTTTGTTTCTTTTTGGAATTGTCTGTTTATTTTTTAATTTCCTAGTGGGATATAGAAAAAAACAAAGAACCCAAAGAAGCAAATTAAACAGAAGAAAACAAAAATAGGAGGAAGTTTTCAGTGTCTTTTTTTTTTTTTACTTTTTGAGGTCTAACAATGGCGGTTTGTAAATCCTCTGTTTCTGTAATGAACATATTGGAATGGAGGAGAAAAAGTAAATTATTTCTTATTTTGATTTGGTTGGTTAAAAATTGAGTGATCCAACTCTATTGGAAATAAGGTAATAAAAAAAAAAAGAAGACAAATTGGCTCCAATAATTTTGAAATGGTGTGAGTCAAATAGTATTGGCATATGAGTCAAAAATGGAAAAAGTACAGAAGTACTGTTGCAGAAGTAGTAAGAGATACTCTGTTGCTACATCTTCGAAATGAGGAAATTGCGTTGAACTTAGTTTTGTTTTATTATAGATAAACATCAACAACAACAATGTTCATTTGCAGTGTAAAAGATTTGGCATATCAAGTCATGTGAGTCTAGTGTTAAGTTTTTTTTGGCAGTCTAGTGTTAAGTATGCGAAACAGTTATTAATAAGAATGCTAAGAACTTTAATTCGATCAGTGTAGACACGTGAAGTAGAAATTTCACACTCAAGACATTCGGTTGAACGTAAAACTAAAATAAAAAATTAACACTAGACTCACACAGACTCTCCTATTGTGGTCAAAAGCCAAAAACAAAATGTGCTGGATAATAAATGGTAACAACATTATGACCCAAGGACAGAGAAAATGATGGTCAGGTTCGTTACCAACTACTAAAACTTTTACCCACATAAAACCACTCAACTTGTTAAGTCAAAGCGTAATCAGCTCCAGTTAATTGTATGTTAAATACTATTATAGTAACTTTAATCTTATTAATATATTTTTTACTTTTTGATTGAGAGAATGTGATGTTCAAATCAGTCCACATTTCAGGAACATATTGGTTGGTGTTAAGCTTAAATCAACTGAGAGTCTGAGATATATCCTAAATCTTACAACAAATTAACTTTGAATTTATAAAGACTTACAAGGTGAAATAGTAGACCCAAACTGTCAACACCACGCATGATGTGGATTTAGATGTGTAAGTGTAACGTCCAAATCTTGCATGTAGTCTTACCTCTTTCAGACCGTTATCGGTTTTCACGTTTTCTCTGTATTTAAAATAGCTGTTTCTTTTTGCTAAAAGGCTTATGAAATAGCTGTTTTACTATCTCAAAATGTTGGAAAGAATTTAGATTAAATATGTAATCATTATAATTTGGCCATTGAAAGTGTTTTTTATTCGTTATTTAAAAGTTACTTTTTTCTAATATGTAATCATCATAATAAAACTATTTTTGATTAAACAAGTGTAACCGCAAAGCAATGCCATATTTAAATAGTCAATAAAATCTCATCTAAAATAGCTTCTCCCAAAATCTAAGGTCGTGTTTGTTTCATGATCTGGGTGTTACATCTAGATACAACATCTAAATACAATCTTCAGATACAACATGTAAATATTGATAGTTTGTTAAATGTAATTTTATAATTTTGGTAGAAAAATACAATTTTACGATTTATAGACAAATGTTATTATACGGTATTATATCAATTTGTGATTTTGACATAAAAATATTATTTTGTTAGTAAATGTGATTATACTAATGTATAGTTCTATTTTTCATTTCAAAATCGATCAACTATTACATAGAATTACATTTTTCTCTAATGTATGATTATATTTTCTATTCTATTTTTTATGTTTTATTATTAATTACTAATTGATCCACAATTTCTTCAAAATTTAAAAATTGATTCAATATTTTTTCTAATTTTTATAAATTATACTAAACTTTAAATTTAATTATTTGAATAAAAAGTTATATTACACTATATCAAAATGATAGAATAAAGTAGATTTTAATTTATTCATCTCTATTTGAATATTTTTACCATAAATGATCAATTAAAGAATTTCTAAGTAAAAAATAAGCACCTTTAAAAAATTTTAAATCGAGCAAGAAAATTTTGGAACCGTATATTACCATCTTCAGCTATGTCAATTTCTAGAAGTGGAGCTTCTATTTCAACTTCAGTTGGTGTATGAGATCGTGCCCATCTTTGATTATCATGTTGTGTAAAATTATACATATAGACATAATATTATGTAACACATTTTTATTCCAAAATAGCAAAACGCGATTAGAGAACTCTGAAAGCATGTTCCACGTCTTTCATGTATGTCTTTTTGTCGCACAACAATATATGTTTTCTTTGCACCCATTGGCTTGCGAACAGTTTGCACTATAGTAGATCATTTTGGATATATACCATTAGCTAAATAATAGCTCATATTATATTCATTTCTTTGTATGGTATAATGAACAGGAGGAGCAATACCTTAAACAATATTGAAGATAAAATGAAAAGATTCCAATACATTGATATCGTTATATCAACACATTGACATCATTATATTCAAACTCATTGATATTATTATTTAAATAATTTTAATTTTGCTATAGTTGATGTTATTATATTTTTTTATTAAATACATATTAGTTTTATTTAATTTCAGTATTTTAATATTTATAATTGATCAATAAAAAGAAATTACTAATAAAATAATAATTTATAAATTTTAAAGTATAACTATTTAAAATTTGAAAGATTAATTTATAAATAAAAAATTTCAATTCTATAATAGAACTGAGAATGAGATAGTTCCAAATTTTGAACAAGAAATGCATTATTCTACTTTGAAATTAAAAATAGGATATGTTTGGACCTGAATTTATAGCATCAGATTTAAAATAGGATTAGAAATGTTCTAATTACATGTAAATTTGTTATTTATTATTTTGACAAAGAATAATAAAAGTAAATAAATTACAAATATTTTTAGTATAATTGGATTTAAAGATATATTATTTTTTTTTAAAAACTAATTTAAAGATATTTCAGACTTCTGTTATTTTAAATGCACTTTGGTGTATCCAAACTATTGTTTCAAATGCATCCAATATATTTTGGATGAAATTCATTATGCATCCAATTTTTGAATCCAAATGCATTTTTAATTAAATATAAATGAACAATATCTCAAAAGTGCATTCAAATACTACGTTTGGATAATGAAACGAACAGCACCTTAACTTTGCTGAAACTTGGCATTCACATTATAAAAAAAACAATAGCAGGAAACACGATGAATTGCTGATGCAACTTATAACATTTTAATCCACTTCCAAAGCCAAACTAATACTGAAGTGATCTTTGAAAAACAAAATTAATTTCGTCACATAGATTGTGAAATAAAGTTAGTCTCCATTGTAAGAGCCTTCAGAGTAGATACTTGAAAAGAATTTAAGAATTTCGTCCAATAGATTATGGACCTTCAAAAATATAATTTTCTCTCCAACTTGCGTCTAGGGTTTCTCTCTTTTAACTATGTTAAGTGTTCTTTTATAGTTCCATTCTATATTGGAAGTGGGTGTCATTGACCTTCAAATTAAATTAGCATCATCATGAGATTTGAATCATATACAAAACAAAAAGAAACTTAAATCTCCAAAAGAATGTTTATCTACAATGATCCAAAGGTTGTCTATTGATCAACCACCCAACATTTGTTTAAATATGTCCATAATTACATAAACTATGATGCCGTTTGCCCAATTTGTGGCTTCTCATATCATTGCCTCTAAGCATGTGTGTTGGGAATTCTCTATGTTTATCCCTACATCAATTATTATTATGCTCCTCTATTTTTTTCCCCCAACTAAAAGGAAGATATAAAAAGTTATTTTTTTTTTTTTTTATGAAATCAATAGTATATGATTTCTAATTGTGATTAACAAATATCAAGCGACGATGCATAATAATAACATTCATATGCAGCGTCACATAGAATTTTTTTTAATATAAATAACAGTGTTTTAATTCTATTAACGTCCGTTAAGTCATGGGTATAAGTATACAATCGTAGTGATGGTTTGAATATCAAACTGAGTTACATGTTTAGAGCATTATTAATGGAGAGTACTGAGTTACATGCTTAGAGCATTATTAATGGAGAGTCTGACATTGGTCTCTTCCAATTTTTCTATTATTAAAAAAAAAATGAAAAAAGTTTTTTTTTTTTTTAAAAATGAATTTTGGAAAAACAAAAAAATTAAAAATTAAAATAATTAAATGAGCAAATCACGTTGTGACACGTGTCCAAAAGAATGAGAAAAGTCGCCTCTTGCAATCGATTCTGCACCAAAAACTTGCCACTCCTTTTTTATTTTGTTTTTTTTTTCTGTTAAAAAACCCTACCAAATTCTCGATTATATGTTTTAGAAATTCAAAATGTCTGTGTATAGTATTTCTAAAAACACCTAAATAATTGGTGATATTTTGTTTTTTTCTGATAAATTTAGATAAAGTGTATACAGAGGTAATGACAAATATAAAAAGTTTCAATGTGACTTGGAGTGATACCAACCAACTATAAAAATCCAAAACTTTCATATTGAAAAAGCTTACTGAATATATTACAATACACATTACATTGGGCCAATCCAAAACAATACACCCTTAAAACAGACACAGACGATACAAAATATCTTTGAAACACCAAACTTAACACCCAAACAAAACTATTAGTACTTAGTTAGGACTAAAGAACTTGAGCTTAAGCCCTTGAGTAACCATACTCCAAATCCCACCTATGGAGAACGCCAAGCTGAAAGCAACTCCCAACCAACCCAATCCCCAATGGAAATACCAATTGAAACTATATTTCGCCGGTTTCTTGATTAAGACCCACATGAAGCAAGGATAAGCAAAGGTGACCGGGAGCGTGAGACCACCGAGCAAACCCGCGAGGCTAGACAGGAAAGGGAGAGCAACACCGATGAAAAACGAGACAAAACCGAAAAAGACCCGGAAACCGGATCTGACCCATATCGAACATGGCTTGTTGGTTCTGCTTGTGTAGCCAGCCTCAAAGCTGTCGAAGGCTGGCATTGAGTATATCTGAAAGCTGCTCAAGCAGTTGAAGACCACTAGGAGAAATGCTGTCGCTAATAAACCTCTTGGAATGTCGTGAATGTGGAATGCATATAATGCTGCGAGCATACCTCCTGAAGGCATCTGTAAGACCAGGAAAAATAAAAAAATGTTTCAATTTCTTGTTTCTAAATCCTCAAAACCAAACGGAAAAGTAAGTAAACCGATTAAAAGTAAGTAATTTGTTTCTATATCCTTAAAAAGTATCCAAACCGAAACCAAACTCGCAAACCGTCATTGAACCGAATGGAAAAGGAGATAGACCTACTAATACCTTAAATTTTCTGGAGTTATGATATATTTTGCTAGAAACCTGAATCCAAAGTCTATAACCAAAATAAAATCGGATAAAACGGTCCAATTTTCTTAATCTGAAAAACCATTACCCAACCAATTTTTCTTGATACATTTTGCAAAAAAATTCAAAGCCAAACCGAAAACAAATGATATTAGTTGTCCCTTCTGTTTCTATATTTCATAAACCAAAATGAAAACGAACCGAAACCAAGATTCATCCTTAATTGACAAGAAGACACGAACCAAGAAGATAGTAAATGGAAACTTACAAGGTTCCCATAAGCCCAAAAGCCTCCAATAGAGATTGGGAAGATGCACAGGGCAATGAAGAAGTAAGCAACTTTAGCTCCTCTCCACATTGGTACATGAGCAGGGTGCTTAAACGTAGATGGCATCGTCGACTACAAAAAGTTTCAACACTTACAATAACACAAATCCAATATGCATTACATATAAACATATACATTATTGCAATTCTTTTTTACCTGAATCTCCAAAACCAAGTTGTGACCTCTGAAAGCAAAAGCTACAATACCAAGAGCATTCAAGACCGAAAAGAGCGAACCAGAAACCGAAGGCATAGAAAGTGGCTCGTACGAGATAGTAGCTGGTCTTTGTTGGCTCACAGAGAGAACCCAAACCATTGTAGAGTAAGTTATTGCAGTCACTGCTCCTATTAAGGAGAGTCCCGCAATAGAATTGAGATTCGGAAGCTGAGACAGAACGATGCATAGAGAAGTAAACACAAGGTACCATTCGACCGTTGTTAATGGATTCGAGGTGCATAATGGACCACAAACTATCTGAAAGAAGAGTTTCATCGTCTCTCCACCAATCAGAATCAGTGCCGTCGCGGTTCCTGCTGATAGGTAAACCGTAGGAAACAGTGCAAGCCAAACTCCTAATCTTTCTCCTGTTTTTCAAATCAAGAATCCAAGATTATTATTATAACACAAATTTCAATAATCATGAAAATGTGAAATTTTAGTTTTTAATTTTTTTATTACCAAATGCAGCTTGTGCAAGCTCGACATATCGATTGTAACGCTTCCCTGGGACTGCTTCGTGTAACTGAACTAGAATCCATAGTGTGTAGAGTTGCCAAATATAGGCTATTGTCAATGATAGTATTCCCCAACTCCTACACAACAATAATTCATAGAAACTAGATTATTCTTCTTAAATAATAATCTTAATTACTTGATTGCAATAAATAATCCATCACTAAGACATTGAACTAACTAGATTTACTCAACCATACACTAGTTATATATGCTTCAAATGTTTAAAATGTAGGAAAACAATTAATCTAGAAGAATTTAATGTACATGACAATTAAACATCCTTTTTGACATGAACAAACTTATTATACAAGGAAAATAAGAGAGGAATATATTAAAAAATGTTTTTTTGGTTTAACAAAGAAAACAAATGTATAATTGCCGGAAATCAACAAGAAACAAAACCGACGATAAAGATGGCTCTGTCTTAGTCCAATCTAAAGCAAAAAAGTATGTCTGAGAGTGGCCACATGTGTAATGATGGAAGCATGACAGATTAAAAAGAATATCAGAAAATATAATATCTTCTACTGCTGAAAAATCGAAAGTGTTTCCACAGTTCAAAAAGTTAGTCAACATATTATTATTTCAAATGATTTTTATACTTAAAAAAAACCATTTTGCTCAAAAATGTAAAAATTTGGATCTGAACAACACAGAGTTTTGAACACAAACACCAAGAAAAATCGACAAACACAAGAAAAGATTATTGGAAATAATGAAGTAAAAAGTGCAAAACGCAAAAACGCACCAGCCAAGAAACGCGAACGCGACGGGCAGAACGAGGGCTTGGAACCCAACACCAGCGTTTAGGTTATGAAACGCGGCGTAATGAGCGTTCCCGTTGCGCGACTCAGTTATAGGAAGCCAAGCGTCTTGTGGGTTGAGTTTAGTGAGATGACCCACTTCCTCGAGATACCCTTTCATGTTGACAAGAACTCGTTTCATAGGTGTACCAATAGGACTCAAGAATCTCGGTGATATGAAAGAAGTCGGAGTCCATGCCGCCGACGAAGATTTAGTGGCGGGACGAGGCGATCTTTGACCGGAGGGAGTAAGAATCTCCGGTGTGGAGACTCGCGGCGTCGCTGGTATTGATATTAGCTCTGTCTCGGGTCTCTCGTCCATTGAGATTTTGTTTCTAAGCTTCTCTCTCTCTTTGTTTATCTGAGCAGGTGAAGAAAGATGATGGTTTGTTTTGCTTTTTTCTCACTATCACTCTCTCTCTCTCACTCTCTATTTTCTAGTCTCTTCATTGGGAGAGGGGATTTTATTGTGAGGTATTTGCTTTTATTTATTTATTTTAAAACTTTATTTTGTTTAGGATTCCGACAAAAACCAAGAAAAATGTAAACAAATTAGGATTACTTTATTGGTATTGAAGAAACTTCTTTTTTAATAACAATATAATGACAAATTAACTAACACAAGATTGTAACAAAATGACGATGTAAGCTTTTCATAATCAATAAAACATGGCGTGTTTCAAGCTTGTTGTACTTGTCCTTACTACTAAGTACTAACACTATGGCATGTTTCATGATGTGGAAAACAACTTGTAAAAACGTAACATGAGTGATTAGAGACTTCTTGTGGATACTAAAAGATATAGGAAGAGACATACATTAAAAGTCTTGGAATCAGATGTGTATACAACAAAAGAAAAAGGAACAACATGTAATTTGGTTTTCGTGATGTAGAAGAAGACTTCAACTAGATATTTTAAGCAAGCAATTATTGCGCGTATTCTGTAGTTGTAGCTCCTTCTTCGTTATTATCACCTAAACCACCAAAGAAACAACATGTAATCACTACTCTTACAAAGTAAGTGTAGCAGACTTGATAACACACAAACATTGAGGGACCGAAAACATGAACTTATACAAACACAATTATTAAATAATAAAATGTAATGGAATTGAAACCTGGATTTCTAATTGTATTAAACTGAAAACTATTCTCTCATTTATATATAAGAGCATTAGCATTGGAGAAATCAGGGTGGAAATCTCTTAATTTTTTTTTATTATTAAAAGAAAATTGATTTTTTTTTAAAAAGAAAAAATGAATTTTTTTTGGCAGATCACATTTCGTCACGTCACTAGAGAGACGCTCCTACAGTATCTGTGCAGATAATCGATTCTATTTCTCAGTCTCGCCACATCATTAATTTTTTTTTTTTTTGCTTTATAACCTCTCAAAAACTCAACATTATAGATGCTCTAAGAGGTTCATTGTAACAACTTTGCGGTTAATAACATAAATCATTTTTTTCCACTATCGTTTACTTCATTAGTTCTTGCTTTCTAACATAGTATCAGAGTATTGAGACTCAAATATTTTTCTCTGTAACGATAGGATTGAAATAATATTTGGCTTTACAAATCTGTGAGCATAGATTTGACCAAGATATGGTGATTTCAAAGTTTTTAAGCAGCACTTAGTAGCTTTTTTGTCATTGGAAAAGATTGTTTTTTTTTTATATTCTCATTGGTGCATAAACACCCAAAACCAATGATAAAATGACTTTTTGTGGTTCAAACTAATCTGATAAATTTTCGATAAATCCCCTATATATTAATTGAGAAATATTTTTAAAAAATAATTTTATTTTTGTAAGTATTTACAGTGGTGCTATTATGCTAATGTGTCAATCCTATATTCATTTTCAGCTAATTTTTCTAAAAAGACTTAGATTACTACACTAATTACATGATATGTCATTATATATTTTAGGTCCATAAATATGTTATATATTTTTTAAAATAAAAATTCAAAGGCAATAATATTTGAATTAATAATTTAATAAAATAATATTTGTTTAATGTTAACTATAATATACACGAAATTTATTATATAATATTTTTAAAATATTATATATATTTATTATAAATTCATAATCAAATATATAACATTTTTTAATGTTTACTATTTTTATCATTCATAGCAAAACATATAATATTTTTTAATGTTTACTACTTAAAAGAATTATGTTTATTGATTATTCATAAACAAATATTCTTATAAAAACAACTGAACAATTACAAATTATATTTTATTTTCCTCAAATTCATAACAAAATATATAACACTTTAATAATTTTTACTACTTTTATTAGAAAATATGTATATTAATTGTATATTACAAATATTCTTATAAATACAGCAAAATAATTAAAAATAATATTTTATTTTTCTCAAACATCAATCAGAACAAATAAAAGAAAGTCATAATGATTTTATTCACATATTATTGTAATTATAGCATGCATGAAAATAATTGTGAAAACATATATAATACTTCAAGCTAAATATTTTAAGTGTATATCTTCTAACAATTCATAATAATATATATAAAATATATTATTAAAAATATATATTATTTTTGTCACAAACATCAATTAAAAAGAAAAAGTTATAATGACGAATTTCTAAAATTATTATGATATATATTATTAATATTCAGTTTTACTATATAAGAAAATATGATATATTGCATTATGATTTAATTTATATATGACTCTTAGATGAAAAATATGGTATATAGCATTATTGCTTATTTTTTTTGTAAGACATTATAACATGATAATATCAATATTAATTGTTTATTTTTTAATTAATGTTTGATTTATTATATACAATATCAAATTTTCAGCAAAATTTTTTTTTTAGTTTAACGGCTTTAAATCAATCAATTTAATTACTGTAAAATTCTATAAATTGATAATATTATGATTTTAATATTTTATTAATTTATAGAATTATAAATTTATCGGTTTGGAATTAAATAAATTATTTATTAATAATTAATTAAAAATAATATTTGTTTTAAAAGTTATTGATATTTTCAAATATTTCACTTTTAAATTGTAGATAAACCATAACATTGTTTCAATTTAAAAAAACACATTATATATTCATATTTTAGTAAAATATCATAGTTATATATTTATATAAGATTACTTTATGGTAATTATTAATTTATGATATTAGTGGAAACATATATTTATATAGATTTTCTTAAAAAATATTATCTTATCGATTTGTATCATATTTTGAACAAGTCCAATTTGAAACTAGGGAAATTTATTAATTAATTTATTTAATAATATTTAATATCTACGTAACAAACTATTTAACTAATAATATTTAGTTATATAAGAGTCAAAATTAATTAAATATATACACAAATATTGTATACCCAAATCTTGGACATTGGTGAAAATAATAAATCTTATGATAAATCACGGGATATAGAAAATCTGTATAGTAACTTCGTATTTCCACCTAGCTATATTATGTGTTATGCATGCTACTTAATTTTTAATTTAATTAAAATTAATTTACATTACAATTCAATTATCTTATATTTCATATGAAAAACTATATTATCAATGTTATAGTATAATATCATATAAAATTCATACAAATTTAATTATATTATATTATATGATTACAAAATTATACTAAATCTAAATAAATAAAAATTATTTCACTCCGCACAGGATGCGGATTGTTACCTAGTATATACCCTAAATTAACTGCAAATCCATTATAAAATTATTCGGATCAACTCATCCAGAAATATTGATTTAGCCTGGTTCGATCTAAATTCGCAGAAATATCTTAAAATATCATCAAAAATTATGTTTGTTTGAAAGAATTATATTTTTTTTTTGTAAATGATTATAATAAATTCATTCAAAAATATTATAAAAATCAATTTGAAAATATTTGTATGAGATATTTCTATTTTTGTGATTTGTTCAGACACAAAGATAATACTTTTCCAAAAAATACGTCACCACACAATGTGGAACCATACTAAATAAGTCTTTAACTTTAAAATGCTCTCATTTAGAACACCTAGCAGAACCTAAATCCAAGTTTATAAGAGCTCAAATCTTCAGACATCCTTGTCATCGTACAAGGAGAGATCAGGAGCTCTAGCTGCCAACAACTCAGCCTTCTCCATAACTATCTGAGCTTCCAAGTCTGTGTACTTATGTTTAACGGCTGAAGTTGTTCCTCCATTTCTTGAAGCCATGCCGAACAAGCCTCTTCTTTCTCTTTCTTCTCCTTTAGTCCATCAAGCATCTTGCTCTGTCAGATCTTCCATGAAGATTTCCTGAGGCGATTGACAGAGAGTTTAGGTTACACATAGGAGGACATTCATGTATGTTGTCTTCACATGTGAATTATTTAAACGCCATTTTGATGCAATATCTAGGTGTCTTTCAAAAAACTTTCACAGATTCTACCTGCAAGTGGAAATTAATAGACCCACAAACCATATCTTTAAATTGTTATTTTAACTTTCTATGTGTCTTTGCATTATAGTTTAGCATTTTAGTATTATTTGCACTTAGAATCAACATAGCATGCATTTAGCTTAGGATTGTATACATTTGTATACATGTGCATGTTTGTGGTGGTTTTCAGATGTTTTTGGAGATTCTTGGAGTTAGGAAGGAGGTGAAAGCAGCTCATGATCGAAGAGGATGTCAGAAATGGAGCTTTTGTAAAGTCTGGTCCATATCGAGCAAAACACCCGTGGAGTGTGCTCGATGTAAGCCGCAGGACGCATGGAAGAGGATCAGCACGAGGAGTCTAAGCCGTTGGTCTGCATCGAGGTCCAGCATCGAGCAAGGAAGCCGATACGCGCTGCACGAGCCATATCGAGGTCGCACATCAAGCAAAACACCATCCGTACCACCTCGATGCAACTCATCCGCGCGTTGACCACTTGATTTTTGTTGACCTTATCTTATTTTTAGATTTTATGCTTCTTTTGGTTCCCTACTATAAAAAAGAAGCCACAAAACATTATCTTTATCAAAGTTTAGTCTTTATATCAAAAACCCTCTCTTCTCTAAACCTTAAAGGGCGATTTGCCTTAGAATCTCTTTCTTTAATAAAGTTTGCATTATTATGGTTTAATCTTGTCTTTTGATCTCTATTCTAACACCTTGGTAGTTTAGATTTCTTATCTTTGCATTTTAATCTCATCTAATCATGTTTAACTCTAAACAAATGGGATTAAACATGATTTGTGAGTAGTCTACCTTAGATTTAAGGTTCTAAGTAGGGAAAGTGGTGATTAAGATGTGATTAAGGGGTGATTAGGCT